TAGAGGCTCCCATGGATATATGTTAGAGGCTCCCATGGATATATGTTAGAGGCTCCCATGAATGTATGTTAGAGGCTCCCATGGATATACACTATATTGCCAAAAGTATTTGCTCACCTGCCTTGACTCACATATGAGCTTAAGTGACATCCCGTTCCTAATCCATAGGGTTCAATATGACGTCGGTCCACCCTTTGCAGCTAGAACAGCTTCAACTCTTCTGGGAAGGCTGTCCACAAGGTTTAGGAGTGTGTTTATGGGAATTTTTGACCATTCTTCCAGAAGCGCATTTGTGAGGTCGCACACTGATGTTGGACGAGAAGGCCTGGCTCTCAGTCTCCGCTCTAATTCATCCCAAAGGTGTTCTATCGGGTTGAGGTCAGGACTCTGTGCAGGCCAGTCAAGTTCATCCACACCAGACTCTGTCATCCATGTCTTTATGGACCTTGCTTTGTGCACTGGTGCACAGTCATGTTGGAAGAGGAAGGGGCCAGCTCCAAACTGTTCCCACAAAGTTGGGAGCATGGAATTGTCCAAAATGTCTTGGTATGCTGAAGCATTCAGAGTTCCTTTCACTGGAACTAAGGGGCCAAGCCCAGCTCCTGAAAAACAACCCCACACCATAATCCCCCCTCCACCAAACTTTACACTTGGCACAATGCAGTCAGACAAGTACCGTTCTCCTGGCAACCGCCAAACCCAGACCCGTCCATCAGATTGCCAGATGGAGAAGCGCGATTCGTCACTCCAGAGAACGCGTCTCCACTGCTCTAGAGTCCAGTGGCGGCGTGCTTTACACCACCGCATCCGACGCTTTGCATTGCACTTGGTGATGTATGGCTTGGATGCAGCTGCTCGACCATGGAAACCCATTCCATGAAGCTCTCTGCGCACTGTTCTTGAGCTAATCTGAAGGCCACATGAAGTTTGGAGGTCTGTAGTGATTGACTCTGCAGAAAGTTGGCGACCTCTTCGCACTATGCGCGTCAGCATCCGCTGACCCCGCTCCGTCAGTTTACGTGGCCTACCACTTCGTGGCTGAGTTGCTGTCGTTCCCAAACACTTCCATTTTCTTATAATACAGCTGACAGTTGACTGTGGAATATTTAGGAGCGAGGAAATTTCACGACTGGATTTGTTGCACAGGTGGCATCCTATCACAGTTCCACGCTGGAATTCACTGAGCTCCTGAGAGCGACCCATTCTTTCACAAATGTTTGTAAAAACAGTCTGCATGCCTAGGTGCTTGAATTTATACACCTGTGGCCATGGAAGTGATTGGAACACCTGATTCCAATAATTTGGATGGGTGAGCAAATACTTTTGGCAATATAGTGTATGTTAGAGGCTCCCATGGATGTATGTTAGAGGCTCCCATGGATATATGTTAGAGGCTCCCATGGATGTATGTTAGAGGCTCCCATGAATGTATGTTAGAGGCTCCCATGGATGTATGTTAGAGGCTCCCATGGATGTATGTTAGAGGCTCCCATGGATATATGTTAGAGGCTCCCATGAATGTATGTTAGAGGCTCCCATGGATATATGTTAGAGGCTCCCATGGATGTATGTTAGAGGCTCCCATGGATATATGTTAGAGGCTCCCATGGATGTATGTTAGAGGCTCCCATGGATATATGTTAGAGGCTCCCATGGATGTATGTTAGAGGCTCCCATGGATGTATGTTAGAGGCTCCCATGGATGTATGTTAGAGGCTCCCATGGATGTATGTTAGAGGCTCCCATGGATATATGTTAGAGGCTCCCATGAATGTATGTTAGAGGCTCCCATGGATATATGTTAGAGGCTCCCATGGATGTATGTTAGAGGCTCCCATGGATATATGTTAGAGGCTCCCATGGATGTATGTTAGAGGCTCCCATGGATGTATGTTAGAGGCTCCCATGGATGTATGTTAGAGGCTCCCATGGATGTATGTTAGAGGCTCCCATGAATGTATGTTAGAGGCTCCCATGGATATATGTTAGAGGCTCCCATGAATGTATGTTAGAGGCTCCCATGGATGTATGTTAGAGGCTCCCATGGATATATGTTCTGCTTACCGAACAGCAGAGGTTTCAGACTCAAAGTCCTCATCTCGTGCACTTTGTCTGGCACTAGAGACACCTTTTGGACATGTCCTACCTGGAATGCAAATAATCGAATTTACCAGCTTACATTTAGTAGATGAGCGAAAATAATAAAAGCATCATCTCATCGCTCACCCTTATTCCCTCGATCCTTGTTAGTGAAACATCCCGTACAAAGTGCTGCTGTGATGGAGCGGGACGTCGCTGCTCTTGGTGCTGCTGTCGTTCACCGCCGCTGGGAGCGTCTCCGCCCCGGCTGCTGTCCTCCTGCCCGCTGTTGTAGTGCACGTAGAAGAGCAGTGCTATGACATTAATGATGTAGACGTGAAAAAACACCATCACGACCACGAAGTAGGAGCGGGAGCACACGCTGCTCTTGTGGCAGGGCAGACGGTCGCCAGTTGGCCGGAGCGGAGAGGTCGGGTTCCCGGATAGACGCGCGTCCTCAGCATCCGCGATCTCCTGGTGATCCGACATTTTCATTATTCAAAAAAAAAAAAAAAAAAAAATTGCTGAAACAATTTGCTGACTGTTTCTTTTCGACTAACCCCATCGGTGTGTTTAAATGGCCGAACGTAGGAGCAAATGCGCTGAGTGACATATGTGGATCTGAATTTTAAAAAAGTGCTGAAAATCCATAAAAACCTTCCTTTAGATCTGTATCCGCTTTTAAAGATAAGAGAAAAAAAACGACGTTTGTTGCTTTGCCAGTGCGGTCCAAACAACTCAATGCGTAGTGATCTGCAGCGGCTTTGTTTACACTGCAGCTGCACGCAGGAGCGCACTGCGCATCAACCCGGGGTGGATTACACCACCAGGCACTTCCTCCTTACAAATTCATTCATAGAAAAAGGAAAAAACATTTAAAAAAAGATCAAATGTAAATCTAAAGGAAAATTGTAGCTTGTGTTTTTTCTCTCCAGATTATTAACAGCAGAATAATCAGCATCTACAGTACAATGCTGACCTCTGGCGACCTAAACTAACAGCAGCAGATTTCCGCGCAAAGCTTCTCCAAAGTATTCAGCTTTAAATGTTCTAATTTTCCTGCTCTAACAACCACATACTTCCATATATATATACTGTTAGCATTTCAGTTTATTGTTTCTACACAAAGTAGTTGATAGGCTACTGCTGAAGTGAAACTGATACAGTTTGTCAGGTTTTCAATAAACTTTTATTTTGGACAGAAGGATGGCATTCAGTAGATGGCCATTTCTATTATTATAAAAGTCTATGAAAGCTAAGACATAAAATATTTTATTCAGCTTGAAGAAAAACATCTGACACATTACTAAAGTCTGCTGGTTTGCAGAGGTGTCAGGTAAAAAAGTACAAATACTTTGTTACCTTATTTAGTAGAAATATTGGCTATACTTATATAGCACTTATATTTTAGACAATTTTTTACTTCTACTTCTTAAATTTTTTTGCAGCCATCGCTACTTTCTTCTCCTTACATTTGAAATAGACTCGTTAGTTTTGTTTCATTGAGGATAATTTTCGCTATGGCCTGTTGAGATTTTTAGTTTCATCCATAAAATAAATGTATTTGTGGTTGGACTCAGTGCTGCATCAAAATACACTGAAAAAAATAATGCAACCGCTTTTGACATTTACATATTTAGTTATTTTAACACAAACATGAAGTTTCATGCTAACATGAAACTATTGTGTTAAAATAACTGAACATCATTGAGTAAACTGTTGCATTATTTTTTTCAGTGTAGCTGTAAGATGATGCAAAGTTAAATTTGATAGTGTTACCATCAGTTTTAAAAAGTTATCATCTAGAATTGTAGAAAAAGGTCCCTTTAATACATTTACACAATAAACAAAGCAGCTCTCCTTAACATTTTTTCATGCATTACTTTTACAATTTAAGTAGTTCTAAAAATTTTACTTTTACACCTTCACTTGAGTAAACATTTTTTGTGAATACTCTAACTTGTATAAAAGTGTTTTTAAACAGTAGGACTTATACTTTCATTTTATTTAGTAATAAACATTAAAAACTTTTGACACAAAACACAAAACGTTTGCAGGTAGTGCTGATAGTCATCGACACCCTGGAGTATGTAAAGTGTACCATCATATTCATATTTCGGGAGGGGCACATATAGGCATAGCATTACAACTTAGCATATGGAGAAAATTACTAGTTTTTTTTTGTGGGCCATATTGATATTAACATACATTAGGAGAGATTGGGGCTGGTTGACACACTGCTATTTTGTTCTCCTCCGAGCCAACTAAAAAGTGGATAGTTATCTTCCTTTGCATGGTCAGGTCTCATGGACTGAATGAGAAGAGGACCAAACATTGTAAGCTGAGATGAGCACCAATTAACAGTTTTCCACTATCCATAGTAAAAAGAACATTAACGCTAGGTATTTTTTAATAAGAGCAAAAGATTTATTTAAAAGAGAGGAAAAGATGAGGAGAACATTCTCAGGAGCATGGCAGGGCCAAACTTTGGTGATGCTGAGGAGAGTCAGGTAGGTGACCCTAGCTCACAAGTCCATCACAAATACGATGAAAGACTTAAATGTCAACGACCGTACTTTATAACCGTACTGTACTGTACTGTATAACTTTCACACCAGCTGAAATTCAGGGTCAGACAGCTATCCCGACTGCAGTGGATGGGTACATATCACCAAGGCAGGTTTTCAGCAGAGAAAGAATTGAAACTGAGAGCTATATTAAGAGATCCTATGACATATATTTTGGTTTAGGGGAGTGGCAGCCTATTGATTAGGGCACAGAGCTTGGAATCCTGAGGTTTTGAGCCCCTCTCCCACAGGCTGCCACTCTGGGTCCCTGAGCAAGACCCTTTACCCTCACACTGTTCTCCGGGTGCCCCATGATGGCGTCCCACTGCTCCCCAAGGGGATAGGTTAAATGCAGAGGTTAATTTCTCCAATGTGAGATCAACAAAGGTATTATTATGGTTTGTCTCCATTAGAGGTGAGAAAAGTGGCATATGAATTAGCGGTGGCAAAATCGGAACCTGGATTTGTTTGTATAGAGTCATATCGAAACAGCTGCCCATTGGAAACATGGGTGCAGTGCAAGATATGCAAAGGATGGGCATATACATAATGCACCCCTGGTAATTCAGTCTACATACGTTATGCCAAATTTAAACTCAGATGAGGACTCTGACAATTTTCTTTTGTTCCAAGACCAGTTTAAGTGCCAGTTTCATAATATTTAATGTTATTTCATGTTATTTCATGAGTGATAAAAGTGAATTATTGCCATTTATTCAATTTCCATAAAAAAGTAACAACAACAATGATTTTGTCCTTATTTAATGGGTTGCAAAATCCAATGTGACATCTTCCCGCATGAACTCACCTTTTGGTGGGTGAACTTGTCATATGGTGACAATCCCCATTAGATTGTTTATAACTCTGCTCTGACATGAGATTAAAAAAAATTACACGGATACAAAAAAATATACGTAAGGGGAGTGATGTCTTAGTGGTTAGAGCAGTGCACTTGTGCACTGAGAAGGTTGCAAGTACCCGGTTTGATCCCCATATCCTGCACTCTGGGTTTCTGAGCAAGATCCTCAACCCCACACTGCTCACCTGGTGGGGCACAATGGCAGCCCACTGCTTATCAAGGGGATGAGTTAAATGCAGAGGTAAATTTCTCCAGTGTGAGATCAATAAAGTTCAATTATTATTATGTAAGAATTTCGTCTTTCATCTAGTACATATTTTTATATACAAATGATGTTTAGTTTGTAAGATATATATATGAATGTATAAAATGTGACCAAATGCCCCCCATCTCCTCTACTTACATGGTGCACTCTATTGTTGTTTGGCAATATCCAGGGTAGAAATTGTATTTATTATTCATTTAAATTACCTCCAAGTAGCTACCACTAGAGAGAGCCACAGCACCACTGTTTCAGCACTTTGGTTGATCTTTGACTTATCTTCATCTACAAGGTTATTGGTTTCATATGCAACTATATTATGTTTTATATTATTTTACATTTTTACTTTTTAAAGATCATGAGAAGGAATACAAATACTGTTAAAATTTCTTTTTAATTTTTAGACAAATTCTAGACCAAACCAACCATTTTATCTTAAAAAACATTATTTTGATAAATACATTTGATCTGTCTGCCATATTTGGTCAGCTGCAGGTGTAAAGAGGTAAGAAAAAGTTAAAATTGCTTTTTATTTGCTAAATTACTGACTACTGTAGTTCCAGATTTGAAGAGATGACTTAAATGTGGATACAGGATACTGCTGGAATTATAGTTTTCTACTGGAATAGTCACCTTTTTGCATTTTACTTAAAATAATCTTAAAAATTAGATAGAAACCAGAAAATATATTTTTTTATATTCCCTTTTTGTTTTAGTTTGACAGTAAAAATGTTTGTCTTTAAATTAAATGTTTATATGTTTTCCAGATCCACTGATTATAATCTGGTTTATAAATTAACCTATTTGGTGTTTTCTTATAGTTAAGTGGCTGAAGTAATAATTCTTTGACACTAATACAATCTGAAACAGCTTAGACTTTCAGTAAAGGAATTGTGGGTGTAACTAATTTCTGTTTGAATGAGGTACACCCATCAAGGTCATTGCAGATCTTTGCAGCTTTCTGTTAATAATGGAGGTGGAATTATAATCTCAGGGTCCAGATTAACAGGTAAAATTTAAAGAAGACCTTTATATGTAAACATTTTATATAGTCAATTATATTTACATTTTTCATCATAGTCAATCAGTTAGATAGATACATTAGTACTATTCTAAGATTATCATAATTGTATGACGATTATTGGGAAAACCTGTTCATAGACAGCACAAACTAATATATGAGAAGTGCAGAAAGATATGTCCATGTGGCATCTGCTTTTCATGGGTTTGGTTATATTATTAGACATTTATGATATCTTCACAACATTTAGATTGTAACAATTTTGGTGTTTAAATGGGGCTTTAAAAAAAGACAGTCAGAAAAGTGGTGCATCAACAATGCTACTTTTATTGATCTAACATGATGGCTGCATGTTTGACATGCTAAGCTATTAAGGTAACAAGTTACTCATATTGTATGATTCCTTGTTACCACAAACTTGAGTCATGTTCTCTTCATCATTCCTCTGATTCTTTGGTCTGAAAAGGCAAGAAAACAAGATTACTCATCAATATGAAGTCTTAAATTTTAAATTAAACACATAAATGAGCGGCATGTTAATATTCTGTTTTTATACCTTAACAATTTCCCGACTCTTGGCCCTCAGCTTGTTGACCTGGGACTCAGCAATGTCGGCGCGTTCCTGAGCTTCCTCCATCTCATGTTGCACCTTCCTGTATCTGGTGAGATGGGCATTGGCCTGCTCCTCCTGTTCAACAAAGAGCAGTAAAAGTCAACTTATTTCTGCTAAAAGAGATTTTAAAACATTATGCATGAATGATTAGTTTGCTTACAGCCTCTTCAGCTTGTCGCTTGTAGGATTTTACTTTCAGCTGCAGTTTGTCCACCAGATCCTGCAGTCTAGCAATGTTCTTCTTATCCTCCTCTGTCTGTTTTAAATCAGCATTTAAGGAGTATTGTAAGACAAATGCAAAGGTTTCTCAAACTTTTTAACAAGTTTTTTCCAATATTTGTTGTTTTTGTCATGTGTACAAATATTCACCTGATAAGTGAGCTCCTTCACTCGTCTTTCATACTTTCTCACTCCCTTAATAGCATCTGCACTTCGCCTCTGCTCAGCATCAACCTCAGACTCCAGCTCACGAACCTAAATAAAAGACAAAGAAAACAATAGCAATAGCAATGAATACTATACCCATATATGCTCAAGACATAAAACTATGAGTACGTTTCCCCTTTCTTATACCCTGGCCTCCAGTTTCTGGAGCTGCTTCTTTCCTCCCTTCATGGCCAGATTTTCAGCTTCATCCAAACGGTGCTG